TATGTGATGATATTGTAGAAGGACACAGAATGGGAGAGGGGATTCACGGGTTGTAGGTGAGTCAGGATGTATGGTGTGTGGGGTGGAGGGAACAAGGAGCTGATGATGGGGCGTGTTAGTTAGTGTGGGGAGTGGTGATGTGGACGATCAGGGTATGGAGTCAAGGCGGGGGGTGGATGGTGCTTCGGGTAGCGATCTGTTCGATGTGGTATGCGGGGGATCGAGGTAAGGAGTTGGGTAGCGGGGGGTGGATGGGGAGTCGGGGGGGGGGATGGATGGGGAGCCGGGTGGCGGTCTGCTCGGGAGGTGGTCGGAGAGTCAGGATAGTTTTTGAGGGGAGTAGTGTTGAGGGGGGTCGGGGTAGGGATTCGAGGCGGAGGGTAGGGGGGTGGGGTGTGGGTGGGGTGTGGGTGGGGAGTTGGGTGTCGGTTTGCTCGAAGTGGTGTGGGAGGGAATCGAGGACGGGAGGCAGAGGTGTGAGCGGTAGTGAGATAGGGCATGGGATCGGGTTAGGGAGTGGGGGGGAGATCGTGGTCGAGGGGACTGGAAGTCGGCGGAAGGTGGGAGAGTTTGGGTGGGGAGTAGTGTTGAGGTGGGTCGAGGTAGGTATTCGAGGCGGAGGGGGATATGCTTGTTACTATTCATAGAAACAAATATTTCCACCTTCTGTGGGAAGAAGCACTCATTTTTTTTCCCGTTTTGTGCGGTGTATGGCGAGTTCATGAAACACGGTAGTAACAAGTACTAACAACTGGTGGGTGGCTGGTTGGATGTTGGATTACGGGCGGACGAGACGGTGTGGTCGTCATTCATTTGCATGCGTAGTGGGAGATAGTGGGATGGTAGGGCCCCCTGCTGTAGTTAGTCAGTCAAGACTCTAGACCACGGTAGATAGACCACGTTAATTAGTCACGAGGGGGACGGAATAGACAGGTAGAGAGGAGTGTTGTCAGTCAGGAGTATTTTATTTATCGCTGTTCAGAGCCGGGTGTACGGCAGACAGAGGTAAACTTGGAGAGAGAGAGAGAGAGAGAGAGAGAGAGAGAGAGAGAGAGAGAGAGAGAGAGAGAGAGAGAGAGAGAGAGAGAGAGAGAGAGAGAGAGAGAGAGAGAGAGAGAGAGAGAGAGAGAGAGAGAGAGAGAGAGAGAGAGAGAGAGAGGAGGGAGGCAATGGAAGCCAAGGCGCAGTGGCAGTAGGAGAAGGGAGGGGGGGGCAAGTAAACGGTAAGCTGACTCGGAAGGCACATGAACTTCCCAGGAGCACGAGGTTGCAGGGGGATGCACTGTAGCGCGCGTTGAAGATTAATGGGAGGGTCAGGATGGACTCTCCAGCCTCGAGCGGGGGCAGGGCCACAAAGCCAGAAAGGGGCTTTTTAGTTATGTCGGAACAGAGCGCTGGGCGAGGTTGAGGTTCTTGCAATGGCAAAACACTTGTTGCTTACGGAATAAAACCAGTGAATGAATGACTTCATGTATGAAGAACTATATCCGATCGAAACAGCTCAAACAGGTGTACGGTCTGTAAAGACCAGGCTAAGGAAGGAATTGTACGTTGCCTCATCAACTGCCACGAAGCTACTGAAAACTGGGCTAGGGCGCGTGACCTGTGCTCCAAACTGTTTGCATTCCCCTTTCCTGAGCACCCACTCCAACTGTTGTGATGGACTGAAATCCCCTCCCAGCTAAGTAACACTGAAAGGTGTTGGTTCGGGCTGTTTGGCCTGATAAGAAAAGCGACTCTATGAGTAATTCGGAAGCCTTAGGAAAGGCGCAGCATTACACTCTCGAACATAAGAAGCCCACGAGAGAAGGACCTGATGGACTATTACCACTCTGTCTGGGTGCTGGGACAAATGGGAGAGTTTGTGGGGCACGGCATTCTATGACCCCTTTATAAAAAGGGTGAAAAAAACAACATCCGTAACGACCGCCCCATCACGCTTCTAACTGTTGTGTACAAGATGGTGGCGAAGGCCTTCACAAACCAAATGATCAAAGTAGTGGGGGACATTATACACCCATCACAGACTGGATTCATTAAATGGAGGAGGATACAAGATAACATCCCCCTAATCAATGAAGTAATAAAACTCTCGCGATAGTCACAGCACAATGCGGCTATAATCTTAATCGACTTCGAAAAAGCATATGACCACATTGATTGGACCTTCTTGGACAGATGCTTGGAGAAACTTAACTTCAGCCCATGCTTCCGACGGTGGGTTGAGATCCTCCATCACAGCGCTACGACACGAGTACAGGTGAATGGAAGGTTGGCTCCTCCCATACACTTGGAACGCTCAGTGCACCAAGCGGATCCAATAGCCCCGTTTCTTTTCGTCATAATTATGAAAGCGCTGGCAGGAAACTTGATGACACATAAAAACTATCCAAAACTGAGCTGCTGATGATGATAGTAATGATATTAATTCTATGGTAAGGTATAAACTATATCAGCACATCCTGGCCTCACAATCTACAAGTAACTACTGGCCTTCCCCCCCTATACCAAACGCAACACTCCAAAGACAATACCATCCCAAGTTCCCAACCAATACCAATCAAGGCTGACATGTTCTCACTACCTAGACTATACCCGCCCCCTTAGGTCGTCATGGCACCACCCCTATGTAACCATTTGAATGCCATGAACGCGCGTTTGCGTTCAAGTTCGCGTTTGAACGCAGACTCGAATTCGCGTTCATTTTTTTTATTTTTTTTTACATAGCACATCTCTCTCTCTCTCTCTCTCTCTCTCTCTCTCTCTCTCTCTCTCTCTCTCTCTCTCTCTCTCTTTATACACATCTTATCCATTCCGGGGAGCGTCAGTCCGGTTCCTATTCCACCGGCAAGTCTGA